GCTCAAGTTCACTGTGAGGCTAGAGGAGTGAATTGGGGTTGAGAGCAGAGTGGTGAGTGTCCGAATTACACAGCTGCTTAGTTCTTCATGTTGGTGTTGAGACAGGCTCAGCCCATGGGGACACGAGGGCCCGTGGACTTTTAGGAGGCATGTGCCTGTATCTGTTCTCCCCATACCCCTACAGATAAGGCAAGTGAGGCTCAGGAGAGGAAAGGAATTGTCCAAGATCACACAGTTGGTAGGACTTGACTTTGATCCTGTGACTGCTGGATCAGGCTTTGCTCCTCCCACCACAGTTAGCTAAAAAGCCAGCATTTGGGGCGATGAGAGAGTCCGCAGAATTATGAACAGTCCTATTGTCCTGGGTAAGTTTGCAACACTGGGAAGTTTGCAAGATTTCTGGCCTCCAGAACTAGAAGATGATAAATTTATATTGTTTTAGGCCATAAGCTGGTAATGTTTTGTATGGCAGCAACAGGTAATTAGTATATCTTTGCACATATGTGAAAGTTTGATCCGGATTTTATACTCCACAGGTGTGTATTTCTAGAGGAGGGGAAAACACTCCAAAATATTAAGAGCAGTGATTGCGGGGTGCAGGGCTGTTGGTGGTTGTATTTGTAACTTCCTGTATTGACAGCACTTCTATAATGAACATGTTATTTTTATTCTCAGAATAATAAAAAGACGTCAGGACTCTTATCCATTCCTGAAAACCCATCTCAAAGGCCAGATCAGCAACGTCTTCCACTATCCCTGACCCAGAGCAACAGTGCTTTTCTCTAGTGATTGGCTCCTGTCCGGTGTTTATCTTTCCCTGCCTTATAATGTAGTTATTTCTTTACTTGTCTTATCCCTTCATCTTCATGCTGAGTTGTTTCAGCGTGTGCTGTGTTTACCTTGACTGTAGAAAGTTAACATCACCCATTTGTTAAATAAAATTGCACTGGCTGATGTGTTGTGCTAATACCTTCAAAATATGCCCAGGATGAGGCCACCTCTCCTACCTCAGCTGCCAGTGCTCCGGCCCAAGCCTAAGCCTCAGCCACATTTTGGCCCCTGGGACCCCTCTGACCACACGTCCCACGACTTCTCCCTAACTCGCCAGTCCAGCCACACAGGCATCCTTGCTGCTCCTCCCCCTCCCCAGGCAGCCTCCTGCCTCTAGAACTTTGTGCTTCTTGTTCCTTCTGCCTGAAACAGCTCCCCACCAACCACCCGTCATGGGTGGTGACGGTGGGAGTCACTTTGTCACCTCCTGCAAGTCTTCATTCAAATGTCCTCTTCTCAGTGAGACCTACTCTACCCCCACTCCCCACCCCTGGAACTTCCTATCACTGCTGTGTTTTTCTCCATAGTCCTTATCTTCACCATATATTGTATTTATTCATTTCTGTCCATCTCCTTCCATTAGGAAGTTCTACAGCAGCACCCAGCAAGAACAACTTTAGGTGCTCAATAAATATGTCCTGAATGAATAACTGGCGTGTCTTCCTCCGGAGCAGACTGTGTCTCTCCCTCATCTTACTCCTCTGACCTAGTAAGCATGGCTTCAGGGCCAAGTGTAACTTGGGCTCTAGGACAGGCAGCATATGTCAAAACTAATCCTGTTTGAGTGGCAAAGTTTAGTAGCAGCAAAGCCTTCTTTGTTCGTGTGGACACCAAGTTTCCCAGAGCCTGCCTGACCCTGCTCACTCGGAAGATAAGTGCTGGATGAAAAAGCAGTTCACAGTCCAAGCCTGGCTATTGCGACAGCAATGCTGGCAAGTCTAATACATGTTCACGCAGAAAAGTGTGGAATAATAGAGCAACGGAGCAAGGCTGGACTCAAGGCTCAGAGAACTCAGTCTAGTCTATCTGCCTCCACTTTAGATGTGGAGGAGTTTGGGTGAGTCCCCTACTTTCTCTAAACTTCAGTTTTCTGAAGAGAATATAATCCAGGTGATCTCCATATGCTCCTTTGTAATTCTGAATTATGCCTGTCCTATGAAACGTTATCTACAAAGAGGCTGCTTGAACGACCCAGGATTGCATTTTCTCTTCTCCACTTGATCCGTCTTCTCTCTCCACTTCTTCCCCTTGTATAAACCACCTTCCATCACACTCAGGGGCAATGCTGATTATGAGGTTCTTGAGAAGGTTTCCTGAGTTTAGTCTGACCCTCTCTGAAGTGGACTAAGCATTGAGACACGTGGGACCGTGTGCGTGGGAAAGCAGCCGCCTCAGAGCACCTGCGTCAGTGCCTGGCGCTTGGCAGACATTCATTTCCTCACTTTCATGTTGCCCTCAAGATTCCATCAGGATGAGCCCCGAGGGGAAGAGCGAATACCTGAAATCCTCTGGCCTCCATCTGATCTCACCTGCCATCTGCACCTGCAGAGATGACAGGCCAGGCCACCGTGCCTTGGTCCCTAAGCTTCCTCCTGGGCTCCGTGAGATCATTGCGGAGTCAGGAGACACTTTGTGGATGACTCACAATGGCTTTATTTTTTTCAATGTGTATCCTCTCATTTAATCTTCACACTACCCCTGTGAGGTGGATTCCTTATACCCATTTTACAGATGAGGAAACTGAGAAACAGGGTGTTAAGTCACTGCTCTCAGCTGGCAGGTGAAGGGGCTGGGACTGAACTTCCAGCTTTCTGGTGCACTGCTCTCTCCTCCTTCCCAAAGCTGTCTGGTGAAATGGGTTTGAAGGAATGAGTCACTGCCTGGAAATGCTGGGCAGACGTGGGCCATTTGGAGGAGCTAACATTACCCTGACCCCCCACCCCTAGTTATTAAGGGGAGAAAACTAGCAAACCTTAACCTGTTAAGCACCCACATGTATAATGTATTACATCTAATTTCTAATTTTTCCAACGATTCTCTGAGAAAACTGGGGCTCTGAGAAATTAGGAACTGACCTAAGGACACCCAGGGACTGGAGCCAGGGTTTCCCCCAGGTCCCTTGCCTGTCTGTCCTCCACCCTGCCCCTATTCTGCAATTATTTCCAGTAATATTGGATGTTGGGCCCTAGAGGTGAGATTTAACAGCGGCATTACCTGAGTTCCTTACCTTCATGGAACCCTGCTCTGAGCCTCTGACACAAGAAGCACCAGGAGGACTTTGGTCTCAGCAGCCTCTCCTCTTATCTGAGCCCCACCTGAGTCCACCATGTGCCCTCCCTGCTCCAAACGCCCATGATCCTCATCAGCTGTCCCACTCACAGCCCTTGAAATTGCTGCATTTTGGTATTGCTGTCCACACTTCCTCGTGGACAAAGGACACATGGAGGGCAGAGCCTGTGTGAGGCACACCTTTGTGTCCCCAGTGGCACCTGGAACAAAACCTTTCTCATAAAAGCTTGAGTATAAGTGAATTTCAATGTCATGGGAATTGTAATGAGAAGCACATTTTACTTCATTTCCAGACCATGCTTGTTGATCCTTAAAGAAAAAAATGGGCTGTGGAATTCAAGGTTAAGCTGTAAGAAATAAGGTTATAAATAACTTGAGAACAGAAGCTGATTCAAGATTGAACACTTAGATGAAATGCTCTTCACTTGGGACTGAGACCCCAAAGGACAGACTTCAGCAGGTTCAATAACCCCCTAAAAATGTTTGTAAATATTTTTGAGAATGTTCCTTTGTCTGTGTCTTGCCAGTGGGTTTCAGCCCCAGGCAAGTTCACTATTGATTCAGGGAGACCGAGGAATGACAATGGAACATTCTTGGGGTGAAAGGGTTTATTACCCAGCTTGTTCTCCCGGCGATAGGTCGAGCACTAGAATTACATCTGCGTCCAACATTCTGCAGGTCTGTAACCCTCCTTCGTCTCTGCCTCTGCCCCAGAGCATCTGGCAGAGCTCTATATATAGTGACCCAGCCAATAATAGCTTATTGCCCACCAGTGTGGAAGCAGTAGCCTAACAGCAGGCCAGTTACATCATCAGGTAGTTTGAGGTTCAGGTGAGGATCCTGGCCATAGGAACCTTCACTTTATCCACAGTCTGCTGCAAGGACCCACAGCTTTCATCACATTCCCAAATGAGCTAAGACCCACTCCCTAAGGACACAGTAGATTCATTCATACATTGAACAAGTTATTGAGGACTTCCTCATAACCAATCACTATTTGGATTAATGAATTAAGGATAAGAAGTATGCAAGGTGCAGACTTCTAAGGTTGGGTCTATTTATTTCACTTAGTTAATAAATTAGTGAAAGCCTTTGGGCTTCTTCTGGTGATTGTGGAGAAAGTAAAGGCTTCTACGGCCAGAATTCTCACCTGGCCCTGGTCGGCTTGCTCAGTACACACATGTGGGCAATATGTTGTTACTGACTTTGTATAAAGAGCTCTGCCCAGTGCTCTGGGCTGCTGCATGGCTGCAGGGCTGCGAGGCTGCGGAAGAGCAGAGTAGTGGCAGCGCTGAGAACAGAGACTGAGATGGCTGCAGAGAGACCCAAAGGTATAGACTGGCTTGCTGCATGCAGACTCGCTCTGAGTGGACAGGATTCTAGTGACTGACCTGCCTCTGTGGGAATAAAGTTGGGTATAAACCCTTTTACCCCAAGAATGTTTCATTGTCATTCCTCAGTCCCACTGAATCCATAGTGAACTTGTCTGGGGCTAAAACCCATTGGCAGGGCAGTGGTCAGGTTCTTCTTCTCAATTAGATTATCACTTAAGCCAACACTCAAAGACCAAATCTTAAAATGAGCAATGTCACACAAGTTTAAGACTGGAATATGGGAGACCTGAATTCTGATTCCAGTTGTTACTAAATAAAGTGGCCTCGGGCAAGTCCTGAAAGCAAAGTGGTCTGTGGCAGTTTCTAACCTATATCTGCCACAAAATGAAAAAAGAGATGACTTTCCCATAGGAAAACAGGTGTTTAAAAAAAATGTATGGGAAAGTAAAATAGAGCATGTTCCAGAACATTCTTTGTAAAACCACACACCCCATCCCTCCATGCCCCTATACTCCCAGAGCAGGCAAGCAAAGAAATTACACCTAATTTAAGTTAAAATTGTTTTCAGACATAAGCACTTTGGTGAATGTATGTTACAAACTCCTATAACATACTTCCAGGCAAATCACGAACATACTGAGCTCAAGAACTATATGTGGGTAGAGGGACCTCTGACTTTCCGGTCAAGTCAATTAGAGAGCAAAGAGCTCTGCTTATCAGGTGTGTGACTTTGGGAAGTTAGATGGATTCTCTGGGCTGCTGTTTCTTCATCTGAAAGATGGAGATGATATCCCTTAATCACAGGGCCATGAGGATGAAGGGCTATGTGGTATTTTGCTCGGCATGGTAATAAATTTTAATGTCATCTTTTACTTCCCCTTTCTGGACCTCAGGTTTGTGGTCACCAGGATGAGAAGGTCAGATTCGATCTCGGTGGAAGACTTATGTTGGCCTCTCTCACCTCCTCCCTCTGGCACAGCTTCCAGCTACCTTGGGAAGGAGTCTTTATTAAGGAGAAAAGAGACAGACATCCTGTCAGCAAAAAAAATGTATCACAGATTAGCTACCTAAGAATTGGCCAATGTTATGAAGGGAAACCTCTTTGTAGATGCTTCTCTCTGAATAACAGGAGAGGTCTGCCTTCATCCCTCTACCAGCCACAACCAGAAAACTGAAGGGGGGAGCCTGTCCAAGCCTTCCACTGCCCACAGTTAGAGTTAGGGATTTACAGACCCTGGCTTCTCAAATTGAGGGACTGGAGTCCTTGCAGGAATACAGCAGAATCTGGGGACACCCAACGACACAGGCAAGCCAGCTCATCTTCCTGAGACAGCAGTTTATTTCCAATTTATTTTGTCAATTTAATTTTTATTTTTTAGGCTAAGTTTTTTTAACACAACCTTATTTTTGCATTTATTAAAACAAACAGAATTATTACAGCATCACAAAGTTTTTAACGATTTTTTTAAATGGGAAAGGGGGCATAACCCATTCACCTAACTCTACTATGAGAGAAAAATACTGAGAAACCCAGGACAGGGTGATCTCCCTAAATTCTCATGTGGATATGTATCTGGGTCAGCTCTGGGCCTGCCTCAGACTATCAGAGTTTTCTAAAAGCAAATAAACAAATTACAACATAAACCTGGGGAAAGGAATCTTGAGTTCCCCTTGAAAAGAATTAGCTCCAAAATCATGCAAGCCAGGAATAGCCAGCTAGGTGCTCCCTGGTGCCTGGCTGCAGGGCTGCATGATCCTCAGGGAACATTTCCATTTTGTGCCCAGGGTGAAGCACTTTGATGGACAACTCACGGGCTGAGGCAAAAGCCCTTAGGATGTTGAAGGCAGATAGAGAAAGGCCATTCTTATCATCTAGAAAGGAAATGCTATAAATGCTCTCTTAGAAAGAAAGCTCACAAATCGAATCAGCATCAAGGATGACAAAATTCATATCATTTCTGGGCACTGCTTACATTTTGAAAGAAATTTATTTTGTTGTATAAAATTGGAGAAGTGCAAGAAAGTACACACTAGAAGTAAATCACCCATAATCCCTGTTTTGGTCGGTTTGGGCCACTCTAATGGAACACCAGAGACTGGGTGGGTTATAAACAACAGAAATTTATTTCTAACAGTTCTGGAAGCTGGGAAGTCCAAGATCCAGGCACCAGCTGATCTGATGTCAGGCAACGGGTGATGGGCCATCTCCTAGTTCACAGATGGCCAACTGCTCGCTGTGTCCTCCCGTGGTGGAAGGGAGAGAGCTTTCTGGGCCTTAATCCCATTCATGAGTGCTGAACCCTCATGACCTAAGAACCTCCTAATACCATCACACTGGGCGTTAGCATTTCAATATATAAACTGGGGAAGAAGGATACAAACAACCATAAAAATCTCTTCTCCCAGCAGAGGTAATTGAATAACTGTTGGCATTTTTGCTAGCTTTTCCTATACATACATACATATATATATACACACACACATATACACACACACACACACACACATACACATACACATACACACATGCACATACATATATATATAATTTAAATTTGGGATCATACTATACATTTTTTGTAACCTGCTTTTTCACTAAACATTGAATTGTAATTATTCAATGACATGTAATTATTCAGCAAAATGGTTTCTAGTATGCTCATTGTGTTCATTGCATTGTATCTTATATATATACAGTACATATACAGATCTTCCTCAACTTAAAATGGGGTTACATCCCAATAAACCCACTGTAATTTGAAAAATATCACAAATTGAAATCACATTAAATACACCTGAACTACCAAACACAGTAATTAGCCTAGCCTACCTTGAACATGCTCGGAACACATACATGAGCCTGCAGTGGGCGATAACATCTAACCCAAAGCCTATTTTAGGACTAAGTGTTGAGTATTTCCCGTAATTATTGAATACCCTACTGAAAGTGAAAAACACTGCCTCAGGATGGTGTCATCCACAAGAAATGAGAAGGTGTTACTCTCAACAGCAAATGGAGATTTCCCAGAGAACAACACACCTATTGCTGGGCCAACTCAGTAACTCCTGCTTCTTTACTGTCTGGGTAAACCCCAGCTGCCTGCCTGTCTGGGTTAAGCTGGTGCCCTCACTGGGATGGTAAATTCCAGGGGTTAGAAAACATCCAAAGCTAAGAGTCTCTTTCTTTCTCTTACTAGTTAGAAATAAACTAAAGAGAAGTTTTTTTGTTTCTTCTGAAAACAGACAGTAGCTGGGTATTTCTGGAGACCTTTGAGAAGGCATAGCTCATGATTGGTGCCTGCTTTACCCTAGCCGCAGACCTCAGCTCAGGGGCTCCTTCACCCTCTGGGACCCTCTGCAAAGATCGTTTTCTGGATCTTAGCTGGAGAGGCCAGGCAACCCCATGAGTCTGTGACTGGCCAGCCTGGGCTCAGGCAGGGCAGAGAACTCACTCCAATCAATACCTAATCTTCAGTTGGGGCCTGATTGGCAAATCTGGCCTGAAGCTTCCAGTGAAATCCTATCATTTATCAACCAGTAAATGACAGAACTCAGGGGAGGCTTCTGGTGTGACTTAAATGTAAGTCCATTTGTAGTAAGTTGCTTGGAATTCATTTCTCCTTCTAGAATAATCAAAGTTCCTATTCTTTGTCAAGGGCCTCAGTGATTGCAGTTGTATTACCAGGGGAAGCTCAGGGCTAAATTGGCAAAGATGCTTCCCCAAAAATCACTTCTAAGTGTTACTAGTCATGGAACATTGTTTGAGGCGCTTAGAAGGCATCATCTTATTAATATTTCAAAGGAATCCAGTGAAGCGGCACTTGCATCATTCCTCAGATGAGGACACCAGGAGTTCAGGTTGGCAAGTAGCAGAGCTTGGACTCTGGGCTCAGACAAGTCTGTTCTTTAAATCACTTCAACTACCTAAAAATGTAGAAGCAGCCAGTATATAGGAGGTTCTCAAGCCAAGAGGAAATGCTCACTCCCTTCCATTACTCCTATTTCTCCACCACCCCCACCTCCCTATTGCTTATACAAATCTGATAAAATTCCATTTGCCCTCCTTCCAGTTTCTCATGTTTTCTTCTAACACAGGAGGCTGTTTCAAAAGCTGGAACATGGCCACTTTGCCCATGAACCTCCCCTGCCCTCCCATCCATCCCTGAAAAGAGCTTTTCTGTTTGAAGCCAATGAGGACCTTTCTCTATTTTAGCCTTGAGAAAGAGCGGAGAGGGATTGGCCGAAGGGAAACAAGGGAACGAGTCAAACCTGTCAACGGCTCCCTCGGGACCCTTCCTCTCTACCCCCACCTTTGGAGATTAAAAGGGGGCTTTCTGAAAGGCAGAAGAAAGTGACAAAAGCCCCGTGGAACAGTGCTTTAACTGTTACAAGATCGCTCTAATAATACTGGGACAGGAGCCAGATGATACTAGAATGGAATGTTCCATATGTTCTCACACATTTTTCCCCTGAAAATGTATCCATTTGCAGGAAAAAAAGAAAAACACCCAAGAGTATTATTGTTCACCACACTTCCTGGTCCTCAGTCCACCAAACCTGAACAGATGAGATAGGCTTGCCGAGGACTTGATTGTTTCTCAAAACACTACAGGTCTGTTAAGCCTTTGTTATAATGCAGACTCCAGATGGATATAGACTTTTAAAAAAAACAAACGGATGCACCCGCTGTATTTGGAAAATAATAAAATGTTGACTTCATGGTGTTTACTTACAGAGCCTTTGTTCTAAACTCCTTGCTTTGCAAATGAGACATTTGAAACTTGGAGACATGGTTGCGGGAACCGAGAAAGGGAGGTGGCTCGTCCCCACTTCTAAGGAGGCCAAGGCCGGGATAAGGACCTCAGCAAAACACAAACCTCCCCCTCCCACGCCCACCCTGACCGAGAGTATTTAAAGAATTTGTTTAATGTGCTTCCAAAAGAGCTTTAAAAATTCAGAACTACGTTAGATTCTTGACATCTGCTTTGCTGTTCAGTATTTATATTTTGAATTATAAACAGCATATGGGGAGACATGAGCTTTTCAGGGCTTAGGGCCTCGGGGGTGCCTCATGCAGCTCTGCCCTCCAGCGCGGCCCCAGGCCCCCAAGTCCTGCCTCAATCATCTGCCTCCTGCCCCCAAATACTCATTCATTCATAGTCACAGCCCACTTGGTTTCACTTTCTGTGGTTTCACTTTCTCTTTCAAGAGGCTGCCCGTGATACTCCCTTTGATCTTCAGCTGTGGAAAGTACTGGGAGGTGGAGGGCAGTGGGCAACAGGGAGGTATGTAGGGATTCCCCCTGGTCACGCTGAGTGGGAGGGGTTCGGAGTTAATTTCACAAAGAAAGACATGAAGGTGGGGTCAGGATTTCTGGATTCTATTCTCCCATTGCACAGATAAAGGAACTCAAACCCAAGGGAAGGGCTCAGACTACCCGGGGACAACTCGGTCCGGGACTCCCTAGTCCTGAGTCAGTGCTGGTCCACCTCAGACCCTGACTCCTGGGCATCTGAATGGAATACCTGCCTCATGGACCCTAACATCTTTTAAAGGGTAATTACTGGAGTTATTGCTAAGCAATGGCTCTAGGGTAGAAATTTTAGACTCCAACAGAGAACAGAGAGGAAAATTAAGAGGCAAGGCTAGCGGAGCCCCTCCAATAACACTGTCTGTTGAGCAAAGGCCAGAGGGTGCCCACCAGAATTACCTAGTGGTTCTAGCAAAGTAAGCATGCTTTCCCAGTTCCCCCATTCCATCCCCTCTGAACCTCCCCAGGCTGGGAAAGAAAGTTCCCGAACGTGGTTTTGGTACATAAAATCCCCATTTTCCAGCAGAGCTGGAAGGGGCCAAGCCCTACCCGTCAGTGCCTTCCTCCTTCCCCTCTGGGCCCCTGATGCTCTCTGAAGGTTTCTTGTCAACAAACCACCAGGAGAATGATGGAAAAGATGTGTCCTGAGGCCTCTTGAAGGTTTTCACACCCATTAGCTGGTTGCATTCTGC